GAGGAAGAGGACTGTAGGATCCTTAGTGCTCTCTGAGCTTGGGGGTTGACCCAACTAAGGAGCCCCTCCTCCACACAGAAGATGCATAATGAAACATCTGCAAGAAAAAAAACCCCAAGCTCAAAGGTGTACCAAGGACCCCTCACTTCAACCCCCACCTACAAATATTCCTCTCTGTCCTTCTTTATGGTGGGTGGACCTTCACTGAGGGGACCAAGAATGGCCAACCAAGAGTAGCATCCATTATTCACCCTCTCCTTCCAATTAAAGAGGGGAAATTACCATAGATACGAAGGAGGACAGAATAACAGAGTTGAAAGGGACTTTGGAGGTCTTCTAGTATATTCGTGTGTGGAAGATCTGTGTTCAAGTTTTTTTGTCCACCTGGGGTTGTTTCACTGCCTCAAATCTCTGATTTGGATGCCGGGGGGCAGGGCGATTGAAATGTTTTTGGATGGTGGGGGGAGGTGAAACTTAACAGGACAGGATGCCAGTTTCTTATCTTAAAATGACAGAGGACGTACCAACTCTATATGCCTCCAGGGTTGGCCAGATCCTTCAATGTTCTTGGCGCCCTCGGAGTTCACTTGTTTTCTTGCAGAGGTTTCATTCAGACATTCCTTGGGTCATGAAATGTCTGCAAGGAAAGCTCGCCAAGCTCAGAGTCCCCTCCTTTCACGGCAGAGCTACAAAATATTCTCCTTTATTGGTACCTTCAGGGCTCCTTCTGCCCAGATGCTTCACGTTCTGTTTCTCTCCTCCTGAAAGACCCCGCGAGTCGAGTGTCCAGGCAGACTGGTGGCCCTCAGGGACCCCAGACCAGAAGCTGTCACCCCTGAGCTGCTTCACCCTTTCAGAGGCAGAGCAGGCGGGCGTGCTTCTGGGCATCTCAACCACGAGCCATCCAGACGGCTGTATCTCAGGGGAATCTGCTGGCCTCTCCCTCTGCTTCTTCCAGGCTGGGCCAGCCATTTTGGCCAGAACCGTCATCAAATCGGCCACAAGATGGCCAGAGCCCACCCGCGAGTGAGGCATTATGGCAAACAAAGGTGTTTGGGGTGTTTTCTTGAACTTCTTGGGTGAGAAGCGAAATGTTTTCAAAGAAAACCTCAAGGAAGTCTGGCGGCCTTTTGGGAAAGCACCTGGCAACTCGTAAAGCATTCCTCTGCCTGTTTTTGACTTGCCATAAATGGGGGGGGAGGGGGTCTGAAGGAGCTGTATGGTAGTTTAAAACCACATTCCACGCTTCTCTTGCAAAGATTGTAGCTAGGCTACCGGATCTTCTGCCCTGAAAATCCTTCATTGGAGAACGTGATTGATGACACCCGTGAACTGTGTTTCGGTTGGAGAATCTGATTGATGACACGCCCAGGAGGAAGAGGGGGAAGCAGGGTCATAGGAGACTGTGAATTACGTAGGCCAGAGTTGGCCTCATCTGGGTCAATGCCGACAGGTTGCTCCTAATAAACCTTTTGGATTCTTTTGAAGCTGGACTCGAGGCTCATGATTTAATTCGGGCAATCGCAGGAACCCTGACAAGACCTTTGGGACAGCCATGACCAGGATGATGGAGACTCTCCGTAGAGATTTGGCCTGGGGTTCATTTCTGGAAGGCCGCTGGGGGCCTCTGTGTCGTCTTGCTGCTGTTTGGATGTCCAGGTCCCTCTTGCAGTGCTGTGCTCCTGAGGGATGGCATCTCTGACCCTTGGCAATCGGGGGAGACGCGCTTTGGGAAGACCAGCGCTGGGCAGAGGGCTGGGCAGCTGTGGGCAGAGCCTTCGCACCTTGGCTGAGCTTGGTGCCAGTTAGAACTAAGGAGACATTTAATAAATACCAGCCAGTTTCCAGGCGTCTGAATGTAGATCAGGCAACCACAGAGATGCTGCATCCTTTGCAGGCGTGAAAAATGATTGTGGCTCCGTTTTTTCCAGTGCTGTGGTTAACTTGGAGCGATCGCTAAAGGAATGGTGATAAGTCAAGGACAGCCCCTTGTCTGAAATGGCATAGGGTCTCCTGCTTGAGCAGGGGGCTGGACTAGAAGACCTCTGAGGTCCCTTCCGGCTCTGTTCTAAGGACTACCTGCATTTGGTCGCCTTCCTTCTGGTTTAGCTCGATTTTGCAAAGCCAGCTTTGGGATCTGCTGAACCGAACCAAAAGCAGACACAGCGAAAACAGCGAGATTGTGTAGGCCGCTGCCCACTTCCCCTTAGCCGTTGCGTGCAGAGGCGTTGTGTGTCAAGTGACGAAAACGAGGCCAGAAGCCTTGGCAGGCCGTCTGATCATCATCAGTCCTGGTCTGTGTTGTGGTGGGGCAGAGAAGCAGCTGATCTCCAGGCAGGAGATTTGGGGGGGGGAGGCTCTCGGCCGGAGGGGGCCTCAGGTGTCCTGGACGTTGGGCGGAGAGGCCTTTGCAAAGCCAACGGGAAGCGCCTGCAGGGACGGAATCCAGAGGAAGAAAAATTGGCCGGCGGGAAGGCAGGGAGCCCCGGTTCACAGGGCAAGAGCCGCCCCAGGAGGTTTAGTCCTGTGGGGGGGCAGAGGGGGGAGACCAGACGCTTTGACTCCTCTTCTGGGGGGTGGAAGTCTCCAGAAATCCCGCATGTTGGCATTTCCAAAGGTTGGGCTGGATGCCGGATCTGTTCACGATCGCAGGAGATCTCCTGATGGACAGGAGTCTCGGCTCAAATCTCACAGCCCAAGCAGTCAAAGAATCAGAATAGAGCCAGAAGGGTCCCTGGAGGTCTTCTAGTCCAACCTCAACCAAGAGACCCTACACCAGTCCAGGCAAATGGCTGTCCAGCCTCTTCTTCAAAGCCTCCAGGGACGGAGCAGCCACAACTTCTGGAAGCAACTTTAGTTCCACTGGTGGATTGTCCTCCCTGTCAGGAACTGTTTCTCTTGAATTCCAGGTTGCTCCTCTCCCTGGTTTTAGTTCCCACCCGTTGCTTCTTCTCCTGCCTTCTGGGGCTTTGGAGAAGAGGTAGACCCCCTCCTCCTCTTTGGGGGCAGCCCCTCAAATAATGGAAGATGCTATTATGTCACCCCTAATTCCTTTTTTTCTTTAGACTGGCCCTAGTTCATGCAACCGTTCTTCATATGTTTTTGTCTCCAGGCCTTTAATCATCTTCGTTGCTTTTCTTTGAACTTTTCCCAAAGTCTCAACATCTTTTTGTAATGTGGTGGCTAAAACTGGGTGCAGTTTTCCAGGTGTGGCCTTACAAATGCATTATAAAGCAGTACAGTGAGACCACTGGGGGTTGGATGGTGTAATTAGAGTTAACTACAGGTATGGCTCAAAGGGGGCAGTGGCACAACGGCCAAGTGGTTAAAAGAGGCTGAGCTTATTGGCTGGAGATCTAGCTGCCTGGGTTTGAGTCCTGAGCACCGCACGGCAGGGTGAGCTCCCATTACTCAGCCCAGCTCCTGCCCACCTAGCCGTTGGAAAGCATGCAAATGTGAGTAGATAAATAGGTACCACTTCGGTGGGAAGGTCACATCATTCCATGAGCCATGCTGGCCACATGACCATGGAAAGTGTCTTTGGACAATGCTGGCTTCCTCAGCTAAGAAACTGGGGTGAGACAGAATTGGGGGGAAAATTGGGAAAAAAGCAGTTTTTTCAATTTTTTCCAAACAGAAACAGTTTGGAAAAAGGTTTTTTTTTTTTTTATTTTTTATTTTTGGGAAAATAATAATAATAAAAAAAACCTCGGTTTTCCCCCAATTTTTCCAGTGTTTTTCCAGGCCTTCCCAGTCGGACTCGACTGGACAGGAAGAAACCTTTAGGGGTAGTTCTGGACTTAACAACCATTTGTGTAGCACTGAAGAGAACTGGAAAAAAAATGACTGACAGCTTCTCCTTGCACTTGGGACTGTCGCAACATCTCCACAACCATGTGAACAAAATTTGGGCATTTGCAACCGGCATGTATTTATTTGGGATCTTCCCAGCTGGCTTCTGACAAGCCAAGAGATTAACAACCACAAGGGCCCCCTAGCAAGGTCCATGTTTTGTTCAACAACGGGAGGAAAATTAGGTGCCTCCCTTAACTTAGCGGAAGAAATTCTGACCGCAACTCGGTCGGAAGTGAAAGGATTGTCTGCGTAGATTGTATTGTGGCTTATGGGGCTACGTGAATTGGGACTCTTGAGGGCCCAGCGTCCTGTGAGAATCCAGAAGCGGTTGAATGCCAGGAATGGCAGGTGGCTCTTACCACGGAGGCGCAACTGCTATGAACAGGAGCAAAATAGCCTCTGCCAGGGGGTTACGGCCTGTCAGCTACCAGCTACTCCAGCAGCCAAATCAGAGGAGGAGGAGGAGGAGGCGGTGGGGGAGTCAGGGCCAGCATCAAGGCAACCTGAGAGCTTCAAGAGGGAGGAAGGAATGGAGTTAGCAGAGAGAGAGAGAGAGAGGCGGAGCCTGGGCCGTCCGTCAGCCCTCAGGTGGAGAGTTAAGAGCCTCCAGGTCTGGAGGTGGCTGATGAGGAAGAGGAGGAACATCTGGGGTCCAGGGCCTGACGCTCAGATGTGCAGAGGAGAGGAGAGCAGTGGAAATCTATGGGCCGGTCCTCGGGACGGAAGAGCCACTGCTGCTAGCAAGGCCCCACCTGAGCTCTGGGGATCAAAGGCAGGGGGGGCGGAGATGAATAGGGGTGGCAGACAAACTATTCCTCTTCCGGACGGACTTCTTAGTCTGCGGTGAGAGAGAAACTTTTCGCCGGGGCTCCTAAAAAAGGAATCTCCTGAGTTCATTTTGGAGGGTTTGTCGTGTTTGGGGAGCCGGGTCAGAACTCAGGGGCGGCTTCCCTCCTGGCCAGGCTGACCTTTGACCCTTTTGGGGAAAGCCATGGGCAGGATTGGTTCCCTTCCACCGGCATCTCTCCCTGGTGGTACAAACGTTTGTACCTCTGTGTGTGTGTGTGTGTGCGTGTGTGTGTGTGTGTGTGTGCAGGTGCATCCCTGGCCTGACCCGAGGCTCTTGCGCTCCTCTCCCTCTGCAGAACCCCAGCTGAAAGGGATCGTGACCCGGTTATTCAGCCAGCAGGAATTCTTCCTTCAGATGCACCCGGACGGAACCATCGACGGGACCAAGGACGAAAACAGCGACTACAGTGAGTTTCTTCCTCCGCAGCCACCACCGCCCGCCCCCCCCGCAAGAGGCTCGGGGGCTTCGGGGTTTCCTTCCCCCCATTTTAAACAAGGAAGGGGCTCAAGGGGGCCCAAAGGCAGCTGCTGCCGGCCCGGTGATCAGCGCCTCCCCTTGAAAGAAACCAACCTCTCCGGCCTCTTGAAAGAAAAAGTGCCGTCTGCTTGGCTCCTCAGGGTCGGAGCAGCAGGGGATTCAGGCGGGGAGGCCTTGGCTCTGACGACGGACACAGTTGACCCCTGACCTTATGTTGCTAAGCGAGGCATTGGTTAAGGGCCTTCTGCCTCACTTTACGACTTTTCATGCCACAAAGAATCCCTGAAGTTATTAAATTAGTAACCCCCTCTCCCTCGGCTGATGGTGTTCCCTAGTTGGGTCATGAAACGTCTGCAAGAAAACCACCAAGCTCTGAGAGCGCCAAGGACCCCACAGTCCTTTCCTCCTCCTCCTCCTCCTCCTCCTCCTCCTCCTCCTCCTCCTCCTCCTCCTCACAAACCCCACTCCCTTCTAGCATTGATGAAGTTACGTAAATGGGTCATGAAACGTCTGCAAGAAAACCACCAAGCTAAGATAGCACCAAGGACCCCACCATCATCATCATTATTATTATTATTATTATTATTATTATTATTATTATTATTATTAT